GTGGAGTTTGCACATTCTCCCCGTGTGAGTTTCCTCCGGGTGCTTTGGTTTCCTCCCACAATCCAAAAATGTGCAGGTTAGGTGGATTGGCCAATAGAGATGCAGAGTTAACAGGGATAAGGGAGGGGGTGTGGAAGGTCAGTGTGGATTTGATGGGCTGAATGGCCTGCTTCCACGCCGTAGGGGTTCAATGACTCTGTCCACTGGACATGAAATATCTCATGGCAACTATTCTGCTGAGGAAGAACAGGCAAGTTGACCCAGTGTCCAATATCTATTCCTCAAATAAAACAAAATCTCACCCAGCCATTTATCACGTTGTTTGTGGGATCTTGCTGTGTGCAGATTAGCTGCTGCATTTTAGACAATGCAGTTTACGTGTGTATAGTATGCTGAAGATAGCAGGTAGCCCCAAGGCACTTTGCAGCAGTATGGTGAAAAAATTTGACACCAAACCACTCAAGGAGATCACAGAACTGTTGCTGTGCTGAAAGAGGCCTTTCAGCCCATCGTGTCTGTCCCGTCTCTCTGAATCAGCAGCAATATGACTCAGTGCCAATCTCCTACCTTTCCCCGTGACTCTGCACATTCAAATAACCAGCCAAAGCCCTTATGAAGGCCTCAGTTCAACCTGACCCTACCACACTCTCAGGCAGTGTTGTAAAACCTAGCCACTCGCTGCGCAAAAAGCTTTTTTCTCACCTCATATTTGCTATTTCTATAAATTACCTTATCCTGTGCCCTTTCATTCTTGATGTTTTTATTAGCAGGGACAGTTAAGCCCTATCTACCCTATCCAGTCCCCTCAGGAGTTTGAAAACCTCTGTCAAATCTCCTGTCAGCCACCTCCTCTCCAGGGAGATCAGTCCCAACTTCTTCAGGAACAAAAACAGAAGTTGCTGGAAAAGCTCAGCAGGTCTGGCAGCATCTGTGAAGGGAAAAACAAAGTTAACGTTTCGGGTCCAGTGACCCTTCCTGAGAACAGTCAACTTCTTCAGTCTATTCTCATCTCTGAAGTTCCTCATCCCTGGAACCATTCTAGTAAATCACTTCTGTGATTCAGTTCAATTCACATCTTTCCTAAAGAACTATACATCAACACTCCAGCTGAGGTTTAACCTGTATCTTTTGAAGGAATGTAAAGGACGGGAGAGATGTTGAGGGTTCTGGGCAGGACTTTCAGAGCCTAGAGGCTATGTAGTGGAACGATTAAAAAGGAATGCTCAGTAGGCCAGAATTGGAGCAACGTAGATCATTGAGGGTTGTGGGGTTTGAGGGGTTACCAAAGTCCAGGCTAACTACCCCCATTCCAAGAGTCATAGAGTCATAGAGTCATAGGGGTTTATAGCATAGGGCCTTTGGCCCAACTTGTCCATGTTGCCCAGTTTTCACAGTTAACCTGCAGGTGAGCTGGACATCCCAGCATTCAGGTGAGATTTTAGACTTTCTGCCTTCTCAGATGGAAATATAGGAACCCTATTTCAAGAATAAAAACAAGAAGGAGTTCACCCCAGTTGTCCTATACTTCAACCAGCTGCACTAAAAAATAGAACAGGTGATCAAGTCATTATGACATTGCTGTTTGTGGGATCGTGCTCTGCATTATTTGATATTGGCTCATTTCCTTTACAATGCAGCGCCGACCACAGTTCAGAAAGAACCTTGTTAGCCACAACAGCTTTACGTCATCCTCAGGATGTGAAAGGTGCTCTGTAAATACAGTTTCTCTCCCTTGAATTTTTTCCTGGTGTGAATCAGTATTCATTTTACGAGGCGGCGGGGGGGAGTCAGGGTGTTTGTTGGAAAAGTCCTATTAGGACAGGAGTAACCCTCATGTGAAAATGAGCTGGAACTTGCCTTCCTTCTGCCTGTAGCTCGAGGTAAATTGGGTCCTGTGGGGGCCAAGAATTGGTGGTTGCTGGCACATGTGTCTCTAGCAGCTCCTGACCACACATTCCCTTCCTGAGTCTTCCCAACAGAAATGCCTCTGAGAGACTGGGAACTTTACAGAGAGACAACAAGGTGAAGGGCTGGATGAACACAGCAGGCCAAGCAGCATCATAGGAGCAGAAAGGCTGACGTTTCGGATTCTCCAG